CGGAGCGTCCTGCCAGAGAGAGAGGAGGAGAGGAGGAGAGGAGGAGAGAAGGAGAGGAGGGGAGGAGGAGGCGAGGAGGGGAGGAGGCAGGGGTGTCCAAAATGAAAGTTAGAAAGAAAGGGAGAGATTCCCCATCTGTCCGTGTGATCCTGCGCAGACAGGGGTTTAAACTTATTATCTGGCTCTCCGCTCTGAGCAAGTGGTACTTTTTAATACGCGGGCGAAGACGCGGAGGAATGCGGAGTGAAGTGAAAAGTAAAAATAGAGCCTTTGTGTGTGTGTGTCAGTCGGACAGTCTGCAGTGCGGCCGTGCAGACAAGTCAGAGCCTGTGGGGGCAAACTGGCAGAAAAAGACACAAAGAGGGGAGACTTATTTATGACCGCGATTATTTTACGACCCCGGCGACACAAACTCCGCTTGTAAGTGCGAATGAAAAGCAGGAAGAGCTCCTCTTTCTCCTCTATCCCGCGTTACTTACTAGAAGAAGACATGATAGAAAGAGAGACAGCAGTGGTACCCTTCTGTAAAACGTTAAATAAAGGATTAGTTTTATACATTAGCGGCACGAATTTTACTTCATTTTTTGGTTTTATTTCTGACTTTTGTTGGTCACAAGCGCGTCACAACAATATAACTGTGATGCGGGTTATTATTTTCATTATAGTCGTGGTGTTCTTTATAGAGGTGTGTAAAAAAACGTTTGTAATTATTGTGGAATTATACATAATGAGTGTGGCAATGGCAATTTTACTGATAAATACATTAAAACGAAAACATGACGGAGATAGCTATTGGAGGTTTCCTGTGGCTTTTTTATGAGTAATTCTCATTTATATATATACTGTAATCTTTATTCATTTTGTACCAGTAATTTGGGCCTTGTTCTATAATTTTTTATTATTATGAGTCCTGTTTATTTAACTTTTTTCATGAATTCAGTGTGTTAATCTTTTTCTTATTGCGTTAGTGATAAGTTAAAATATGCAACATATATATATATATATGTTGTATGAATAGTTCAGGCTAAATGTATGTATATATATATATTCCACGTGAATTGACTGATTTTTACCATGAGGTTACAATAAGCGTTCGGAAACGGCGAAAAAAGAAAAATAAAGACTGTTTCTTTTCTTCCACTTTTTCTTCTTTCTGTTTCTTCTCTTCCTCTCGTTAAACATGTCGGTCTAATCAGTGTCACACGGGAAGAAGATAATAACTCACTGCACACGTTGATCAGACCTGCTCCTGGAACACTTCAATTTTCCACAGGCACCACAACCCCTGGATCCACTGGGTCCAGTGCAGGGGAGCGTTAGCCCGGGATACCTCTAATCAATAACATCAATACGTATCAGATCATGATCAGAAAAATATCTCCCAGATGAACCACCCATCTGAAGAACACACACACACACACACACACCTCCCCTCACTGTCCAGGCCCGGGAGGGAGGTGGGGGGGTATAAATCTGCCCACCAACCCAAATTCTACCAATTACACATGTACAAACACCTCAATTATAGACATGCAGAGCTCACATTATAATGTAGGCTCACTCACACACACACACACACACACACACACACACACACACACACACACACACAGGGGACCACACATGACCAGTGCGCGCTCCCGGCTGTGATTTACTCTCGCCAAATTCATTTTAACGAGGTCGGTATTATCTGCAAAGCACCGGGAATATGTTTTATTATTCGGTTGCCTCTGGTGGTGCGGAAGCAAACACCCCCCCCTACACCTCTCTCTCTCACACACACACACTACTCTATCTCCGGGAGGGCGCGCGTGCTTGTGCTTATGTGAGTTTTTTTTTTTTATGGCTCTAACAACAGACGGAAGAAGACACGCGGGGAGAGAAAGAATCAATTTTACGCGCCGAGGATTCCGAAGTGATTGCGCAATCTCACCGGGAACCGGAGGAAGATTAGAAAGAGTCTGAATGAGATTTAGAAAGAGAGAACGGGAGCAGGAGACTGAAGGAGGGAAATAGGAAGGTGGTGGTGGAGGTGGAGGTGGAAGGGAGGGAGGGGGGGTCGCAGTAGAACCACACACACACACACACACACACACACACACACACACACACACACACACACACACACACACACACACACAC